CGATGGCGAAGCGCTTGGCGTTCTCCAGGTTGCGGAAGATCTCGTGGGGCGGGAGCGTGATGCTCTTGTCCAGGCGGCCGTGAGCGCCGCGCCCGCCCCGCTCCGCCATTTTGAGCGCAGCCCGCTCTATGCCCAGCCTCATCGGCATGCAAATTTATGCGCATATATTTGCATGCTAATGAGGGCGGCGCGTAGATTGTGCGGGGGGCAGCTGAGCAGGTGAGGGAGCGGCGGCTCGTGCGCGTGCCCGGGAGCGCGCGGAGCGGACTGCGCGTGCGCGGGCACGTGAGCGCGCACGTGCCCATGCGTGTGCACGAGTGTGTGAGTGCCCGTGCACGCGCATAGCGGAATGTGCATGCACAGGTGTACATGCGTGCAGGGGCATGTGAGTGTGCACAAATGTGTGCACGTGTCTGTGCAAGCAGGCGAGTGTGTGTGCACACTTGTGGTTGTATGTGAGGTGACTGAGTGCATTTACAGTGTGTGTGTGAGACACCCTCAACATGCGTGTGAGTGTGTGCGTGCAAGACACCGAGCTCTGCAATGGCCTTGCCCCCTATATGCCTGTGCACATACGTACACACACGCGTGCCCCAGCAGCTGTAAATACCCACGGGTAGGGGCGAGCCGAGCACTCAAAGCCTCTGCACTTTGGAGGTGTCAGTGGCTCAGCTCGGTGTTGTGGAAACCTGAGACGCAGCGGGAGCACCTCAATAAACTTCATCTAGTAACCGCGGGCGCTTCCTGGGGTCAGGACCGAGTCATAAAATCTCCCGAGTTCTTCCCTCAGCTCCAACTATCCAGCGGGTCTGCGGGGGGAGGTATCTCCTGGCGGAGGGGGGGTGCATCAAGTTGCGACGTTCTCTGCTTTGGGGAACTCTGCTGCAGGGACTGCATTTGGACCCAACGCAAGGAGGCAATTGGACTAATTGGGAGTAACTTTTTGTCCTTTACCACCATTGCGGTCTTGTACCCTCCAGTCCACAAGATGGGGACAAACAGTGCACCACCGGGACACCAGCTACGCTAACTGCCCAAGAAAGAATAACTTGCAGGATTTGACAACTATATTTTTATTTATTTATTTTTCTGATAAAAGTTTCTGCAGCTTCTGAAGTTCAAGATTCTGACAGGTTATACAATGGGCACAGCTCACATGTAACACATCACAGCATCCTCCAAGGACAACAGTGAATTTACATTCTCCCCTTGCATCGGGGTACTGAGAAAAATAAATATAATTTGTACAGCTGCCTTTCATAAAAGACTTTGATAAATGTTTCCTGTAAAAATCAACAGCACAGGCTGTAACTTAATTTCCTACAAGGACATAAACAGAGCTGTTGCCTTTATAAAAGGCGCGCATATCCTGACCCTCACAAAAACCACCCGGCTTTTGCGAGCAAGACACCCTGAGGAATTTCCTCTACCTAGTTTGGGTTGGAGCGTCACTTTCTGCGAGCGCCGTCGGCCCCGCAGAGGAGCGCGGGGTCCCGCACGTGTCCGGTGGGACACCCTGGCCGGGACGTCGGGTGTCCCCCGCGGGCGGCAGCTCCAACAGTCGCCCACAAACAACCTCAGCAAGGTCACCAGCACCCCGAGCCCCGCTCTGAACAGCCGAGCGGGAGGCTCGGGTGACGCGTTCTCTAAGAACAACTTTCCGTCCGGCGGGAACGTCTCAGTCCTGCTGGAAGGAGACATCCAGGGAGAGGGTTCTCTGCGCGAGGAGCCGGCTCTTCCCTCCTCGGGGCTTCCCGCACGCTCCCGGGGACGTGACGAGCGCCCCGGGGCTACCAGGGCCGCCAGAGGCTGCAGGAGGCCTTGAGAGCCGCTTGCTTGGCGGGGGGCCGGGGGCTGCAGGAGGGGCCGGGGGAAGAACCCGGCTCCTTGGGAGCTGCCTGCGCCCGCTGCAAGTCCGGGCAGGAGCGGCAACCCCGCAGCCGCAGCGGGAGCTGCGCCGGTCCAGGGGCTCTACTCACCCTGGCTGCACCGCAGGTAGCTGACGGTCATTTCCAGGATGTCGGCCTTCTCCAGCTTGGAGCTGGGCTGGTGCCGCTGGAACTCCTTCTCCAGGAGCAGCTTGAGCTGCTCGATGCTGCTGTTAATCCGGTCGCGGCGCAGCTTCTCCACGATCGGCTTCCTGAGCTGTGCACGAGGCAGGAGAGGACAGTTAGGGAAGGACATTCCCCTTCCCGCCCCACTAACCTCCTGCCCAGGGGGCTCAGCCTCCCTCCCCTCGCACCCGATATGCACTTACTCTGTTCTTGTCCTTGGGCGACAGAATTTCCAGGGAGAGCGCGCTGGGTGCCATTATCCACGTGCTGGTGCTGATGTTAATTCGGAGCTTGCAAGGCAGCAAGTGATGGAGAGAGCCGGGGGCTCCTCTATTTATAGGCAGGAGCGGCACAGAAATGCCTGGGTGCTCCGTTCCCCGGCCTTTCCCACCGCTCCCGGCCAATGGGCACAATAGGGAAAGCTCTCGTGCAGCATGGTAAATTGACTGTGAATTGCCTGGGGATAAAGCCCAGCTCCCAAAGGAGCAGGTGGACGGGGCAGCGTGTGACACAATAGGGCCTGCTCGGATGACGCTGGGGTAAAAACGTGGGAAAGCGGTTGCTGTCATTGTCATCAAGGCCCTGCCTGAAGCCGGGAGCATCAACATCTCAATATGCTGCCTTTTCCCAGGCTGGGGGGAGTTAAGCACAGGACACAGATCTCAGGAAGAGAAAACGGTCTGTCCCACGACCAGAGCAGAGGCTGAAAAGGAAAAGAGACTAACCCTGTCATTGACATTAAACCGTACTTAGATGAATATAGTATCAGATAATTTTCAAGCAAATAGTGATTAGAATCAAGAGGAAAAAAAAATTAGCTGTAACATGTAGCTTGAAATATTTTCCTCTCCATTTCCCTAAACACTTATGTAATACTTATATTTAGAGCTTTTTTCTTTGTTTTTTTTTTTTTGCTTTTATCTGGACTCTCTGATGCGTATTGATTGGGTATTGATTATGGCGCCTTTCCCAAGCGTGCTGTATTTAATCTCATGCCACTTTCCAGCCACTGCAAACACAACCCCAGTGCGGCTGATAACTTTTCCTGTGGGTATGTGGACAGCAGCACGTTCCAGGCCCCACTGGCTGGCCGCAAGGACAGCGATAGGATTGCGGTCACTCAAGCAGGGCTTACCAAGCCCCTCCGGGCTTCCCTGGCTGTGTGTTTCACAGCTCAGCCATTCTCACCTCCTCTTCCAGCCCTGAGACATTTTATATTAAGATGGCTCACTTAGGGTGTAACCATTTTAAATGTTAATGGATATTAAAAATACATATGTATATATATAACTGAGCAGAGTATGAGTCCTATAGAAAGCGCGTTCCCTGACTTATTAAGTCAGGCTGCACGTGCTCGGGGAGCCCGTCCCACCACACGCAGCAGGTCCCGCCGCCCGCGGGGATCGGCAGAGGAGCCTTAACCCACTTTCCAGCTCTGGGAACACGGCAGGAGCG